ATGGCCCCGCGGAGAATCGATGGCTGCAGATCTAGTCATCATCACAAACCTTGTTGTCATGATGACGAGTATGTGTATGGCCTACACCTTTCGACATCAAAGAAGATAGCTTTCCCATTGCTTGCTACTCTCATTTTCTTGTTTCGTGGACTGCTGCAGCCTGTGGTTGCGCTGAACACTTACGATAGATTGTACGCGAGGGGTGGAAGATCCTTCTCTGTGATCGATCCCGAAACGATGACAGTGGTCTGGGACAGTGGGGATGCATTTGAGGCCAACATCTCCTCGCTTACTGCCAGCTATTTCAACTCAAGGGGGTTCACCGAAGAGGAGTACAAGATACAATTGCAGCATAGAATTGAGAATCAGACGAACGTACCAATCAGACAAGACTGGCTAGCGGATTTCCGTGCTGGGACAGTTGATTCAATGAGTACGAATTTGGGATGCCAGCCTAGGGCCTTAGTGATGGGCATGATGAATGGGCACAAGGACAGGTTTCTGTTTGTCGCTCTGATCAATCCATCGGGAATAATGGTGTACAATTTCACGGACCCGCTGGCACCCGTCTTTAAGTCATGGGAAAAGCTCCCTGTGCAACATCTCGAACCGGAAGCGATGCATTTCACGGCAGCTGATGACTCCGATGCTCCGTATCTTTATGTCATCTGCGGATTCAGTGCAAGTCTGCTGGTGTATGCAGTCGATGCCGACGGAGGATTAGCCATAGCTGCAAGCTATGATGGGACCGCGGGAAAGGATCCTGTTCCATTTGGGGCTAGACTGGTAAATGGCCTTACAACCTATTCGGCACTGGGTTACATCCCCGAAGAAGACAGCATCTATGACGTTCCTATAGTTGTCGTAGCCAACAAGTTCGCTCGCAGGGTCGACGTCTTTCTTGTTAATATGACAGATGCACTGGGATCGAAGATCCAGCGCCTGGGTGCCATCAGCTTGTCCTCCGGCATAGCTGAGGGGAACTCCACAGAACGACTCTTCAGACCCGGTTTCCCCTCTGACGTGTACGTGCAGGGTAGCGTCTTAGCAATCACCGTTGTGCCATATGATCCTGCTGTGAACCCCAGCCTCCCAGTCGACGAACAGGGGGTGCTCTCCAGTGGTTCGATTCTGTTCTTTCAGCTTAAAGTGGAAGGTACGAGTCCATTCAAGTTCCTTGGTGCGGCAGCGACGGGTGCCTGGCCAAAGAAGATTGTGTTTGCAGGCTCGAGGTTCTTGGTTGCCGATTATGCGAAGTGGGCCCCAATCGACAGGGGCGCGGATCACATCGATCCTCCAGGTGGCGTGACAGAGATCAGACTGCCCAGTAATGTGTACACTCTTGTGGGTGCTATGCAAGAGATGAATACCATAAGCAACGACTTTTCGAGCTATGCCGTGCATCTCCAATTCGACAGCCTTATCTTGGACGAGGAGATCGAGCTTCCGGGGACAGGTTTGGTGGCATCAGATCCTCAGCCTATAGACATTGCCTTCTCCAACAACTCCAACATTGCTTATGTGTTGCTGAGGAGCAGCAACGCTATAGCCAAGCTTAACGTTACGACTATGCAGTTCATGTCTGTGCATTGGCTTGGTGCAAAGAACTACTCATCCTCTGTAAGGATTGACCCTAGCTCGAAGGATGGCGGGCCGAACCTGAGGAATTTTACGAACCTGTTCGGACTCTACATGCCCAGCAGAATGAAGGTGATACCTGCCTTTCCCGGCTTAGGAAACCGCGAGTATATCATCACAGTGAATGAAGGGGAGGACACAACAATGCGTGGCGGTAATGTGACCGTGAAGGATCTGGACCTCGATAACGGTACCTTTCCAAATGCGGAGGAATTGAAAAGTCCAGCGAACTTGGGCGACTTGAGGGTTGTGAGGTGGAAGGGGTTGAAGTCACAGGTGCACACACAGCTCTATAATGGCCTCACAAGGACAGCGGAAACTGAGTGTGACAACTACTCCTATTTTCAGTTCGACGTGAGCGCTAGTCAAGTCTGCATGGACATGAGAGTCAAGTTGCTGGCGATGCAAGGAACTCCGGACATTTATGTGAGCAAGGGAGCTGCCATCAACCCAGAGATTTATGATCTTACATGGGCGAACTACGAGCCAACGTCAGATAACGTTGAAAACTTCGTCATCACTCACTTGGATCCGGAGTTCGAACCCGGAACCTACTATTTCGGAGTGTACGCCTACTGTCAACCTACACTGAGGCAGGCAGCTATGTACAACATAACAGTCTCGCTGGAGGAGCCCGCAAGCGGCGGAGGAAACGATCCCGCCAACAATGATCTGCTGGCCCTCCCCGCGTTCAATCGTCAGCCTCGTGTGGATGGCCTTTCCTACTACAGCTTCTGTGTGAGTCATCCTTGCTCTCCAATCACTGTGAACATCAGCGACTGCCGGGCTGGTGCCAACTACTGTCCCGAGGTGCTCGTGTCGACTAGTGTTCTGAGGCCTACTGCTGAGGATTACACATGGAAGACAACAGGTGGTCGGCGCGCAGTTACCATTGCTCCTTCTGACCCATACAACAAAGCTGGTGTCTTTTACGTCGGAGTCTTCAGTCGGTGTACCGATTCGGATCCTTCCAAGTGTGGAACGCCTTCTCCAGACTCTGCATATAATCTCACAGTGAGTTACAATGCAACATCGCCCATCGAGTGCCCAGAAAAGCCAAAAAAGGTGGTGATTTCTCCTTGGCCCGTAACCCTTGAGGAGAATGTGGTGGTGAACCAGTCGACGACTTGCGGAGGCTACAGCTACTACTCCGTCAAGGTAGATAACCCATGCAATGACCTGGTAATCGAGGCCGTGCCATCGTGTCCCACATGTGGTGTGCCTAGAATCTATGTGTCGAAAGATTACGTCTCCTCCCCGACGGATGCAGATCGGACGTGGACAAGCGCGGAGTCAGCTGGCAAATCCTCCGTCACCGTGTCAGCGTTCGACAGGGACTTCTCCTCTGTGGGCATGTTCTTCGTCGGGGTGCGTGCTGACTGTGCAGCGGCGACACCCGGCGGCTCTTCGCCTGTTTCGACGGCCACCTACTCTATCGTTGCACGGTTTTCAACCAGCCATGTCTACAGGTGGCAGAATGTCACTAGCCTGGACATGATGAACAAGATGATCTTCAATCAACCTGTCTCTTCTCCTCTTGGTTATGATTACTACCACTTCTGCGTTGGGAACTTTTCCAATGGTGATGTGGTCGTGGAACTGATCAATTGCGTTACACCGTCTCTTTGCCCTGACACGTACTGGTGGCCCGAGATGCTAGTTTCAAAGTCCAGGTGGGCGCCCACAGTGAACGACCGTGCCTGGAGACTGGCGCAACTGGACCGCAACAACATTACTCTGAGGGCTACAGATCCCGACGTACGCCCTTGGGGAGGCCATTACTTCGTCGGTGTTTATGCTTGGTGTAATACGGACTGCAATGCATCTTTGTCGAGTGCCTGTGCCCCGTGTGGCAACATTCCGAACAGTGCCTACAATCTGTCAGTGCGCCAGGGGGCCTCCCTTCTCGAAATGGTAGCGCCTGTGATGGAGACATCACCTCTCCAAGCCACAGCATCCACGGCTTCGGTATTGAAAAAATCTGCGGCGAGGGTTCGATTCTCCACCAGTTCCTGGAAGGACTTGTTATGGAGAATTGCGATTGCCGGTGTTGTTGCTGCCCTTGGCGTGCCGCGACCATTCCAGCTGCTGGCATGAGCACTGAGCAGCAGTAGTCGTTTTCAGATGGGATGCTTTGGCTGTTCAATCCTTTGTCCTTTTCCCATCAGTCTGTTGTATCAAAACTTGTATATGACCATCGGTTGTGGCGGGATTCGATACTAGGTACTTTTTTTGGCACGGCAAATGGTTAGTTGACCGGTGAAGAAACTTGCTCTTTTTCCCCGTGTTAGAAAGGAATTATCTCAGCTGCAGCCTCTTTGCATTTCAAATAGGGAAGCGCAAGTTCGTTAGTGGGGGGTCCAGCGTACTCGGAGTCTTTCAGGTCCAGGGGCGGCGATGGGGGATCGGGAGGGGGGAACAAACAGGAGTGTCACCAGGGGTAAAAAGCAGGTGTATAAATCTTTTGTCTTTTGCTCTTTTCTTTCGTAAAGCGAGCAAGGGATGGATATTTCACATACCTAGAAGGAGAAAGCGAGCAGGGGATGGATGTTTCAGATAGGAGGGGGTTTGGGGTTGAGGGGGGGGCGCGGGGGGGTCTGCTTGCTGGTAATAAGCAACCGGACTGCTGACCCCCAGAATAGATGGGGCATGAATGCATGTGTTAAAAAAAAAAAGAAACGAATCCGGCAGTGTCACACTTTCAGTTTCGAAAGGGGAAAAAAAATGTGAGGGCAACAGCATCGGGTGCGGAGTTTGAAAGGGGCGATATTGGTAAAAATGGCTGTGGCCCGCGTGTGATTTTGTTGCCCTTTTCAAACCCGGCGGGCGAGTTTGTTGCCCTTTCAAACTCAGCGCGCGGATAAAAATGCTTTTGTTGCCCTTTCAAACTCGGCGCGCGAGTTTGTTGCCCACGTGTGATTGTCCTGCCCTTTCAAACTTGTTTGTGCCACAACGAAACTTAACCCCCCCCCCCCCCCAAAAAAAAAAAAAAGCGAGCAGGGGATAGATATTTCAAACACCCAGAAGGAGTGCAGTTGCATATAATGGTGGAAAAACTTTCGAAAAAGTGAAAAGCATGTCATGAGAGAGAGGGTGGTGACATGACAAGCACATTTCTGTGATGGAAGATGATGATGGAAGGCAAACCAGGGGCTTCGGAGGGGGTGCACTGTGCTCGGGGGAGGACAGAACGCAGCGATACTTTGAAAGGTCCATTCCTTCCTACAATGGAGGAGAATCAATCTAGTTGCAAGTTGGCAACTGACACTAGGGGTTTTTTCCGAGCGGCATGTGGACATAATCGGGGACAGATACGTCAAGTATGGACTGGAATTGCGGTCAGATGCATCCAGGAAAATCCTAGTTTGGGTAAGCCTTGAGAGTTGTGGGTCTGGGATGCATGCTCCTCTCAATTTGGAACGAGGTTTCATGCAGACGCCGAGGACAGCAGGTCAGCCTGCTTCTGCTTGCAATGCAACGAGCAATGAGCATATCCCCCCTTCTTTCTTCCCTCCTCTCCCCCGCCCCCCAACAGTCCTGGAGACAGGTTTCTTCACTTCAGTGGCCATGATTTTGATTCCTTAACCCCCCAGTCCAACAGCCACTGCACCGTAGATTTGACTCGTACCGCGCAAACTTCAACAGTGCCGTGGCCCGGTAGAGGTTTGGTGGGAAAGGGCTACCATGGTACCACCTTCAGTTTTCCAGAGGCCTGCACTGGCATCACTGTAGATTTTAAGGTCACCAAAATGCATTTTTTGGTTCGTCCATTTAGCTTCGGACGGACTGGCGGTTTAAGTTATAGCGTTTGCAACTTCGTCCAGAGCCATTGGGTTGTCAAAGCCAAAAAAATCGAAGAGGCAGATTTGGGTTGCAGCTTGGAGGTGAGGTAGGTTTGGTGAGTAGTAGAGAGTATAGTGCCTGTGTGACCATTTGTCCGTGGTGTGATCATCATTCTAGTCCCTCAATTCTTCTCAGTGGGGACGGTTTATGCTCCGTACTCGCCGTGTGGGAGCTGTGGGGAATACACAACTGGAGGTTGGAAACTTGGGGCAGGATTTGCCTTGTGAATCCGAGAAAGTGGAGGTTGGGTGGAGGCAGGTGGTTGCAGTCATTCTGCTCTAGCAGTGAGAATCTATGGTAAGGAAGCCGTTCTTCGGACTCCTCTCCTCCTTTTTCTGTGTGCGTGGTGGTTAAGAGGAGAAGCACAATGTTTTCATGCATCTTTAACGGCAAACGAGGGCGCTGAGCACTCCTCTCTGTACAGATCGCTGCAAGATCGGCAAATGTGGATCGGTTGTTAATTGCGCTTTGACCAGATGAAATGTTTTCTAAAAATAAACTCCATAGATTAAACTCTCTTTCCCCTCTTACTTCAGCAAATGGTTCCTTGTCTCCCTTGTCCATCTTTCTTGTGGAATTCTTTGCGCAAGTGTGTGTGTGTGTGTGTGTGTGTGTGTGTGTGTGTGTGTGTGTGTGTGTGTGTGTGTGTGGTTTTGTCTGCTTATGTACTTCCAAATAAAGATTAAATCTAAGTGTCAGGGGCCGGGTGCCGCTCAGTTAATAACTTAGTAATAGTTAATATCCATCATGTCCCGGGCATAAGTATTGGCTCCCTCTGTGTCATTAGACTAAGTCATATGAGTTGAGATGAAACTGTGTCATATATTGCAAGGGTAAGTGAGATATGCACGAGCATCACTCAGGCGAGCGGGGACGGTAATCTGCGGCCGACTGGTGGAGGAGACACGTTTATCGAGCAGGTGAGTAGGTAATTAGTTTGCTGACTTACCTCCTCCTTGTCTTTAGGTTCTCTATTTTGGCCTCCATTGTTGTCCACGAACCTTCACTCAGGCGAGCGGGGATGGCCTCCTTGTCTCTAACTTCTCTATTTTGGCCTCTCCTTACCTCCAGTTCTCTATTTTGGTCTCCAAGCTGTGTATCTGGTGTGTGTCGACTCCTCTCTTATCTCTGTCTGCTCTTTCCTAAAGGTACGTGATAATTGTCAATTTCATCATTTCACCCCTTTCGGACGCTTTCAGCTGTGGTGGGGGAACGTTGTGGTTCTGTGAATGTGGTGGCATAAGTGTGCCTCCTGTCTTTTTTTGTACATAAGAGAAAGTAGGTAAGGTATTGTTTTGAATGAGAGAAATAGTTTTTTTGCCTGTTCAGACTTCAAAGCTTGATTCTTGACTGAGACGTATTTTTGCCCCAAGTAGGTAAGGTTTGGTGGCTTGGATAAGACAAATTAGGTAAGGTTTGGGTTGGATAAGACAAATTAGGTAAGGTTTGGATTGGATAAGACAAATTAGGTAAGGTGTGGATTGGATAAGACAAATTAGGTAAGGTGTGGATTGGATAAGAGAAATTTCTGAGAAAATAGGTAAGGTTTGGATTGGAGAGAGCTGCTGCTGGATTCTGGAGACATTAGCCTCCATGTCTATTCGACATGCGGATATAGGCGATATGAGTTTTTTTGCCTATTCAAAACTCGATTCTTGACTGAGACGTACTTGCCCCTACGAATGTTCAGATTTAAAAAAAAAAAAAAAAAAAAAGGAATGCTCTCTCTAGTACAATGTATGGACGTGGGTAGTACTGGGTAGCTGAGACGTAGATGCCTTCCTGTTTACGAATGTTTTCTACGATGTATGGGCGTGGGTAGTACTGGGTAGTTGAGATGTACTTGCCTTCCTGTTTATAAATGTTCTCTATGATCTATGGATGTGGGGAAGACTGGGTATGTGATACGCGTGTCATGGAAAGTATCAGAGTGTGGCATTGGCCCTTGATCCACTACTTACCAAATGTGCAAAATGACGATGAACCTTCACCTAGAACATGGAAAGATGCACCAACATTTCTTTCCGTCTTTTTTGCTCGTGGTGTGACTAGTGGAGCGGGGCCCATTGTAGAAGCCCTAGGATCGGGTACCACATATTAACCATGGCAACCATGGACCCGGACCAGGACATGTCTGGACTGGTCCAGACGTCCGGTAATCCGGACAACCGGACCGGACCGGACTGGACCCGGACCATCCGGACCGGTACACCAGACACAAAAAAATGTCCGGACCCAGGGGGGGGGGGAAAAAAAAAAAAAACAAAAACTTAGTAATAACTTATAAGCAGTAGTACTCAGTACTAACCACAGCTTACTGTCTTTCAGTATTCACAACTTGACAGCTTCATACTGTCACAGATTCACAAAGGCTCACACAACACTTGAAACCAGTTCTCAACAGACCAATCCCAAGTCACTTCAGAAAAAGAGTGCGAAAATCAGAAAAAAAACAGAACTTTGAACTTTGAAGTTAGACATTCCGATTCATATTCATATGAAAATTGAAAATTTAAACTGTTAAATTATTCAGATCTGCGTAAGAACTACTAATAACAGATCTGAGATCTGGTCAGGACCAGATCTAAGACGGGATCTCAGATCTGACCAAAATCTTCTCTCTCTCTCTCTCTCTCTCTCTCTCTCTCTCTCTCTCTCTCTCTCTCTCTCTCTCTCTCTCTCTNCTCTCTCTCTCTCTCTCTCTCTCTCTCTCTCTCTCTCTCTCTCTCTAGCGTGATGTTCTTTGGCGCTTTGCAGCCAGCACTTCATTTTTGGAATCAGACTCATCCTCATCCGATGAACTACCAGTGTAGTACAACAGCAGAGGGAGCTGTTGGAAGCGTCTGGCGGCATCCGGTAGGCCCTGAAATGGCCAAAAAATACTGGGGGCATTTTTGGGGGCCGGCCTAGGACCCGAAAAATGTCCTAGGCACCCCCCCAAAAAAATTCGAATTTTTCAAAATTGGGCCCAATCCAGACCTACCGGACCAGACACCGGACCCATACCCAGACAACCGGACCGTCTGGATTCCGGTCCAGACGTCCGGCCGGTTGCCATGATATTAACTAATCAGTGATTTCCTCTTATCCTACCTAAACCTCACCTAATTTCTCTTATCTGATTCAAACCCCTAATTTATTTAGGCATTTGTTGGGGTTTGTTTTGAGGATTTTTTTGTGAGGCGGACAGACACAGACCTTCTTTTGGCTGCCGCCGCCAGCCGTTCTTCTCTGGTAGGCCGACCCCCCAAAGTTGCGGTGTGTGGACTGCTATGTCGGAGAGAAAAGGCTGGGAAACATACTGGTGGTTCCTTTTATTTTGGCACAGGGCATCGGAAAAAAGAGGCTCGGACAGACTTGTGGTTCTTTTTGTACACAGGCTCCGATCTATTTGTCGGGAGCATCACGTGCTGAGAACTGGGATCAGCGTCCCTTCTGAAATACATAGTTGAAAGCTTGAAAGTTTGAGACGATAGTCATGAGCATGAAGCGATCAGAGAAAAGTCACAGTGCTGTCCAGCCTCCCATATCTGTGCCTCCTAATTCATTTTGCCAGATGCCAGATTCTACACAAAAAGCTGGCAGCCCCTGCCTCCCTTCCCTAACCCTTGGGCTGGCACGGATACCGGAAGGAGCTCCTGGGGGGCACCAGCGAGTCCTCCTTCCATCTCCTTGGCCACCTCAAATGTCCCCCAAAATTGTCCCAAATCTGCGCTATCCTTCTGCTGTCCTCATGCGAACTATGCCAAGAAATCTTATGCTGAGAACCGGGCTCAGCGTCCCTTACGAATACACCTGAGCAAATGGATAGAGAGACATATGAACAGCGTCCAAGCTGGGAAAAACGACAGTGCTGTGAACTGGGCCCAACATCCCTTGTGGGCCCAGCGTCCCTTGTCTTGTTCTAGCTACTCATAGAATGTATCACCATTGCTTGGTCACCAGGGGGTTGGTTTGGTTGAAGCGTAATACTGAACTATCCAGGCGAGTGGTGTCAGGAGGTCGTAATTTGGAAATGGGGAGTGAAAACAGGAGGGCTCAGAAGGAAATGGAAAGTGGATAGAATAGGAGAGGCGACGGATGGGAAAATGGGATTTAACACAGTAGCCTTGAGTGGGGACAAAGTGAACTGTACTATGCAAACCTAGTCTGAGAGATCATTAAAAAGGGTCTCAGGGTCCTAAGCGACAGGATAGACTCTTGCAGTGGTCAGGCAGCATACAAGAACTGGTCTTGAGCTATCAAAGTTCTCGGGGATCCAGTGCTATACACAAAGTAAAATAAGAGATGCTGGACTCGCTTTCCAGTAGGTGGTGCTCCCCATCAATAGAATGGAGCCATTAATAACGGGGACCCTGCTAATGAAGGTTGCTCCTATCACCTTCATTAGCAGGCGCTCCTGCCATGGTGATGTTTCTACGAGAGATTTAAAAAAAAAGCCATATGTTAATATGTGTATCAACAATCGCCCAGCATTACAAATTCGAGCCTTTTTTTTTTTTTTTTTTTTTTTTTTTTT